ATTTGAGAATTGTTTCTTCCCAATTCAATGAAATTTGGAGTCGTCAGTCATTTTTTAGTATAATTATTATCAATCGATTAAAATATAATTTATTTGGACCAAGTTAGAGAAATACGTTTTAAATAAATTATTGGAGAGCAGCTAYACTTTTTATCTCAGTATACTCAGTTAATAATTTTTATACATTTGCTATTTGTAGGCACATCTGGAGTGAYTACTGAAGAGTCTAACMTTTCAAAATTATGATAGTTATACATATCATAATAATTATATACAATGCAAAGTGTATGGTATTAATCCAAAGGTAAAATAGAGAAAATTAGTTGATTAGAACTTAAAAAATGTTTAGAAGACTATATTTGGCCAGTTGGGAATAAGCAAATAAATTCGTTAAAATAACAAATAATCAGTATAAAAACAATAGCACAAAACAACTATGAAATCAAAATTTAGCAGTAAAAAAAAAAAAATTGGAATAAATAGAACTTTTACTGAGCCTCTGTTTGTTAGCTGTTGTTTGGATGCTTTTATAGTTATTGTTTTGTACTACAGTGTATTAAATTATATGAGAAATAATATATTATTACGTATTTTAATACTACACACTGACCTCTGCCACTTCTTCCCACAAATCGCAGATCGTTGAACTTGGCCACTTGGTTCTTCATCAGAGCGGTGCAGTTGCGCAGCTCCGCACAAAAGTTCTCATCGTTGCCCGCACGTATGGTGACGGCTGTTCCATCGGGCACTTCACCCAGCGCCACTACTTTGAACGCTACCGGAAGTGTCTTGTTGGACCGCCAGTGCGTGGGAAGTATGGTGCACACCAGAAACGGGCTGCCGGTACGTACCAGCTCGCCGGGGTGTTCAGACAGAAAATCTCCCAGCGACCGTTCGGCCAGTATGTCGGCGGTCATCTTGGCGTACGCTTCCGACAGGCCGTTGTCAGCTCCGGAACCGGGCACGGTAACGCCACCCCCGCCACCGGTCATTTGGACGCCCTTCACCACCATTCCACCGCGGTGGACTTCCGCGGTCGTCGCGGTCGGTAAATACGTAACGGACCTGGTTCTGCAAAATCACGTGAAACGATGTTATTATATGTCAATATAATGATAATATTATTATAATATATAGTTCATGTAAGCTAAACGATGTAAAATGACAATGTAATAATATATGAAACCGATGAAAAAATAATTTATAATT